TCACCTAGCGCCGTTCTTGCGTTTCTGCACTGATGCAAGCACGTCGATATCCTCAGCAGATACTTTTGCGTAAGAAGTATTAAAATTAGAAGCGGCGAGATATTTTAGTTACTCACACAAAAGCCTCGGCGGAGAAAAGTGACAGCAGGTTGTATCTGTCAGTCATATTCAAATCCCAAATATTCGGGATTTTGATAATATTAGTCTAGCTATTTTTTTCTACCATATCACGACACCGCGGAAATTGGTATAGGCTTAGCCGCAATTCTCGATACTTAGACTTCAAACTTGGTGAGGAAAAAGATTTATAAATATTCAAGAAAATATGTCTTGCACAAAAGATTTGAAGCTTGCTCACGGTAAAAACGAATCGTCTGAATTAATAACCTTGTGTATACTTTAAGCCTCAAAATGGCCATTTCACAGCGGTCAGATGTGTATGATGAGCTGTCAAAAGATTGCAGAATGCGTATTCAGAAGAAAAATTGAACTTTTTTAAGATATTCAAAAGGTTTCTCTTTGATAGGGCGATACAGAAATGCACAATTGTGAACCAGCAATTAGATTTTCGGGTTGAAACGTCTTAAACACCAATTTCTGCGGTGTCCCATATCACCTTGATGAAGAAGTAAAGCTCCCCAGCGCTTCCTTCCCTCTATCATTTGTACCGTACTATAATTGAGTTAAGAGTCGTCTCAGGCCTCATCTGCTCATGTTATTAATTTTTCAGGAAAGACGTGTAAAACAAATGGTATCAGCTGTGGATATAAAGAAGATCGGTGTCTGAGGATCAACTACAAGGTCGGTGAAGATCTGATGACTGACGAACGTTGTTACCAGTCTTCGCGTTGTTCAAATTCTTCAGAGATTTGTGATTTAGTAAAGAAGAATAACCAAACGGTTAAAGAGTGTAAAACGTCATGTTGCAATACAGAAAATTGTAACGCAATTATCAAACCTTGTAATTCTTTTGGCGTGCCTCCTATTGCCAGCTTTCTTTTGACTGCCTCTTTGTTAATACTTGTTGAAATACTCAAACTCTGAGACAATTCATGTTAACTTGCTTTACTTATTTTGCTCATTGCTATAATATTTACAGTTGCATAAAGAACTGTTAATAGTTGCGCTTTTTTAGTTTAAGTTTGATAAAAATACATGGAATTAGTTTTTCGTTAAATTAATAAATTATATGGGACTAATGATTTATTGTGCGGCCTTTCTGTGTTACAATTCTCCTGCGTTACCTAAACAATTTCCTTGCCAACGTTTCTCAGGGTGAAAATATTATGTTAAATAGAGCGTCGTTTTTACACACTTCTTTAAAGTGATGATGAACAAATAAAAACCCCAGAATTCCATGCTATATGGTGATGTTCAAACGTACGGTAAAAGTCATAAAATAGTGAGCTTAAGCAAGTGACGTGTTGTCAAAAACGTCACTTGCCTTAAGTTCACTAGTTGTCTTGTGGCGCCATTTCGTCACTCAATTATTCGACGGCGCTGTCGAAATAGTATCATATATATCCCAATTAACCTCGTACCCACGGTAATTTCAAATTAGATCAAATCATATTTATAAATATCACTGGTATCAACGAGGGCCCTTCGCTCTCTTATAGGGGGGAAGAAATACCGCCCGCTCCGAAATCAATATGGAACTTAAGCAAGTGATGTTTTAATTTTCGAGCCAACGGCAACCTGACTGTCGCAAAAAGCCTGGAAACTGCTATGCCGTTCCCCTCAAATTTCAAAGCATTTGAGCAAACTGCAGCGACGGGAGATGTCTTAGTTTCGAGAAATTAGATAGTTTTGTTTAGTACTGTAAAACGACCCTTTTTGTGTGGCTTCGTTTAGGCTCTTCTAACGTCCGGGATCGTCGGGTCGTTTGGGGAGACAGCTCTTTACAAATACTCACAGAACACACACATATCGTGCTTCGGTGCTTGAGATGTGCTCTTCTCGTGCTCCTGTGTCAACTAACTGTTTTGTGCTTAATCATACTGTGCTATATCGCTACATGATATCCCTTTTCAATAACCCATTGTGCATTGTTCATTGTGCATATTACGTGTATCATGTTTCCTATATTACAGTACTGTTTGAAGAAGGTGTTCTGACTGAAGAAGAGTTTATTCTATTGCACTTAGCGTACGATTCAAGGAATCTAGAGTTTCCAAACAACAATTATTTGCCTTTTTGTCTGGATGAAATGAACGAAGCCGAATGTTTAGCAGAATTTAGAGTACAACCTATTTCTTTAGAAAACTCTACAAATTTCCGATGTAATTAAGTGCCCACAAAGAACAACCCGGCTGTTCCGGATTCGAAGGACTGTGTACGCTTGAACCACCTCGCATATCCATGTCGATATTGCGATATGATGACGCTTTGGCGATCGGTTCCGGAGATGTGCATGATATCAAATTTGGTTACTGATTTTATACACAATAATCACTGACATGCATAGAGTAATTCTATGGAACCAACACGTTCTAAGTCCTGAAAATCTTCAGATTTATGGAGAAGCCATTCACGAAATAGGGGCCCGCTAGAAAATTGTTTCGGCTTCATAGACGGAACTGTGAGACCAATTTGTCGACCTGACAAACATCAGCGAGACGTTTACAATTAATGGTTACGGAAGAGTTCATTCCTTCACGTTTCAGTGCATTGCATGACCAAACGGAATTGTTGGTCATAGTATATATATTTGGTCCTGTTGCAGTAAGTTAATTTCTTTAAACATTTTTGCACACCAAATACGTTTTTTTAAGAATTTTACAGATTTTACAGATCTGAAAACTTTGATTTTTTCAGAAGGCAAGAAACATGAAGCAGGGATGTTCGCCCAATCAAATTTCTTACAACAAATAGAAGAGAATGCCTTTTCCCCAAATGGAACTCCGATGTGTGTTTATGGAGGCCCCGCTTACGCTCTTGGAGTTCACTGAAAGAGAGTCAATAACCTGCCTGTGACCTCGGCATAGTCCTCTGATTAATTATACCCAATTATACAAAAATCGCTAAGACGGGGGGGGGGGTGCTCCTCTCACAAAACCTGTAGGAAGTTTACGATTCACGACGCGGCCAGCTCAACAACACGCTTGCAAAACAAAGAAACTTCACGCGTGAGACAATAGGTATGCATAATTTGTGGTCCCATGACAGCGTTCATTCTTACGACGCCTTTGAATGAGGCAATTTAATGGCGTCTCGATGACATGAAAGTAGCGACAACCTGATAGCGGTACATGTTTGGTAGCTTATATGAAACTGCAATGCCAGCCAGACTTCGGAGAGTCTTAGCACGATTGATTGAAACGTTTCTATGGTTATTTCAATGTCCTGGCAGCGTAATTAATTTCCGTAGCTTATTTCTAGCTAACCGCGTTGTAAACTCCTTAGTGTTCAATCATGATGTTATGTGGGAAGGAAATATTTGCTTTACGCGTGGGTAAGAAAGCCTTCACGAGCTGCAAGATATGGACTAGCCTCCTCAGCATGCATCTCTAATCTATGTTAAGTATTGCTCATATTTGGTTTGGGCTAGCTGTTTCGAGGAGGAGAGAGAAAAAATGAAGAGATCTCTCGCTGTACCGACAGAGCTAGCATCGCCCAGCCAAATACGAGTATTACTTACAAAAATTATTAGAGGTGCCTGTGGAGGAGGCTGGGTAGGGACGGTTTTCTTTCAATCAGATAATATTCAAGTCATTGTCTCGTACCAGCGGCATCCCGACCGACAGCAGCAGGTCTACAAATTTGGAATTAACACAAATCCTCGCGCCGATATGCCAAGTGTTTGTTAGAATCGGTAACTCACGGCAAAAACATTCGCTGTTTGTGTCAGATGAAATAAAGTTTATATTTTATGATATGGCATTATGTAATTTCATTTTCCATGATTAAAATGGAAATTTCACAAAAGTCTCCAGCAGAGTGTATATGACTGCTTTAATCCATATTTGCTTTACAGCAAGCAATTTCTTGAGAAATCCAAACAAAATTGTATTATACACTTAATGTGCAAGAATACGACGAACAACTGGTCGTTGACCTAGACTATCCGGCTTCTATTTAATGCGCTGTCTCCTTTGTTCTCATCCAGTCCCCTGTCACACCGGCGTCAAGCGATATTAATGACGTTTGCTTTAGCCTCGATGCCTTTGCAAAATTTATAACGAGTGATTGGTCATAAATTCGCGTGTCAGCCGCAAAATATAAAACGCTTGGAAAATATCTGACTGGACAAAACCTTATATGCAGCTATATATTTTTCATTTTAGTTGTATATTTTGGCAATTTGTATTTTGTGTTGTATCCGCTCGTGAATAGCCAATAGCAACTGCTGCAAATTTTAATCATATTAGGATTAAATGTGTGTAAACACGACAGTGTACTATGTACTATGCTAACAGCTGTCTACACAGCACTTAATTTATAGGGTCAACTTGTTGATATTTTTGTATTCATTATTTTGAGTTCCTTTTAAAAATTTAGCATTCGATTTTTATGCAGATGAAATCCTTCCTTCACAGCACCCCCCTGTCGGCGGCCCTGACGGTATATAACTAATGTTAAAAGCGACTTCTTTCAATCATGGTCTTTGATTATATGTTTTTATGAAAAACTATGAAAGAGGCCGCTTTTAACATTAGTCATGCGTATAGTTTTTTTATATAGCATTGTAATGCTCGTAGAAGTTTTAAACTTTTCATAGCTTGCCTAGAGATAGAACCAGTACTAGAAATTCATGTTAGGATTTCTAATTTCTATCTCCGCGGTAAAAGTAAAACTATGGAATGGTTTAGGATTCATAGTAGTTATTATAGTGGCAATTTGCATCTTGGATTTTTTGCAACTGCATGCGACAGTTATATTTCGCAGTCACAAATTACCCGTGACACCTGTCAAAGCTCTTGAAAAATGTTTGAGTCATATTTGCAATCTGACACCTCTAAACCAAACATGACACCTCTAAACCAAACCTAAAAGCATTTCGAAACCGCGTCGATAACCGCGCGTGTGCAATCTGAGAGAGTGCATTTGTATAATCTCATACCTTCCAGTCTACATCTCTGAACACCGGTGACTTGTGGTTATACAGGTAAGCAAATTTCACTAAATTTAGGCTCTAAATTGAGAAACCGGCGGGATGTGAGAGAGAGTTTGAGGAATACTATATAGACCAACAGACTCTGTGTCTTAGCATGTGAAATCATGCATGCATGTTATGTACACCTTGCTAAATTCTAAACAATTCTGTAGTTTGTATGATAAGATGTGTCTCGCTTTTTAAAATATGATGCGATTCGATACGTTTCGAGCAAAGTACGTCCTAATTATGAATATAAACCGCGTACAAACGAGACGAACTAGCCTCCTCCGCAGGCATCTCTTATGTATTAAATTATATTAGGCTATTAGGCATGGGTTAGCTGTGTTAAGGCTTTGATCCCAAATGGAGTCTGCAATTTTTATCCGTGTCGTGAGGCATCCGTGCGGAAAAACGGCTATGTTCCTTATGAGTTCTAAAGGCCCACACAGACCAAACGCGATGTGGTAATGCAACGCGATGCATGCCAAATCGCGTCCTGTCTGTGTGGACCTGAAAGGCTTACCTCATCCTTGTCCGAAGACTCATGCATCCATTGTGACTGTGTTATCTTCCGACAGACAGGGAATCCCAGATTCTTGCGACAAGTGTGAAGGAGGCTTTAGTGTTCTTCAATCATACCACACAACACCATGCTTCTGTGCAATGAGCTAATTCAGGGGTGTTTCGAAAATGCTACTAGCATAAGTTATAGAGTAAGTTATATTATAGATTAAGATCGGTCTTTTCTCATTTCTGTCAGATATTACGCATTTTTTTAGATGTGAGTCTATGACAAATATTAGGCCCTGTCTACACGATGCCGGAAGAATTTGAAAAGGCAAAAATATTTATCCGTTAAAATATTTATCCGCATCCACACGTAAACATAAAAACGATCCGAAAACGCTAAAGTTATTTGATCCCGCAATACACCAACACCGTTTTCCACCCCGCGTGTCACAGGTTGAATGTCGAATTCGAAGCAAAAAATGTACCAAATTCAAAGTAAAAGACAACAATGAGGACTTTGTTTGGACAGATGACAAGCCCAAACTCATAAATATTGTTGTTGAAAATCTATTAGATGCATGTCGTGTATAAGAAATTGTGTATAACCATACTACGACATTTTGGACATGTTTCTCTTGTAAAATACTTCCGCAAATGCTACAAGAATTGCCGAAGATTTTACTCACCATAAAAATAACCTAAATAAGACTTTTTTGAGGCTAATATAGCAATAAATTTGAGCATAACCCACCAGACTTGAAACAAGCCTCATTAATATGAAAACGACTTCATATACGTGACGTCATCGTTTTCAAATTTATCCGGCTAAGCTGTCCACACGTATCCGCTCAGCCGTCGTTTTCAAATTCTACCACTCTGGAGAGCGTTTTGAGATTCTTCCGACATCGTGTGAACGGAGTCTGAAATGTGTGGTTACGCTGTTCCGTGCTTATATGCAGTAACATAAATCGATCGGTGTGACCAATAATTACATCATTCCCTATTAAAAAAGACCGGAAAAATCCTTCATTTTACAGTGGTGATGTATATGACAAGTTATATACGTGTTAAAATTTTAGTCCTGTCCGCAGAATTTTTGAGCTATGGCCTATGGGGCAGCTATGCTCTTTGGGTCGAACAGTGCAGCGCCGACAACGCGAAACGTTTCTGGGATCATAGTTTTATAAACATGGACGGTACATACCACTTTTAAATATCGTAAGAATTTTTTTATAAAAGCAGTTGTCTAAAAAGCTCAGAACTTGTTTTTTTTGAATTTATCGAATTATGTTTTCTGCTTATTGTCGTGTATTCATTGGTTTAGTGCTATTTATACTAGGATAAGGCCACTGGCCAGAATCGTTAAACACTTCCTATGTAATACAATAGCATCGCGCACCCCCCCCCCTTCCCCGGGATATGTCAGTAATCTCAATCTTTCACATTTTAATATAGGAGTAAAAAGAAAAATTAATGAAGATGGTTTTAATCAACATATTTTTCCTATCAACGATTCTTGCAGGTATTGTGCATGTTGAGCAATCTTCTCTTACCCTGCTCAATGCATTGTCGCATCTATATGCACCGGCACGCTAGGACACTTGAGACAGAACAAAAAAACCAAGTGAAGCGTAACTAGATTCAAGGTGCCAGATGAAAGCTGAGGTTGATCACATGATTGCGATCCGTTTCCCGAAATTATTAACAAAGCACCCACGAAATGAGATGTGGAAATGTCTTCGTATGCAGTGCATGATGTATAATCTTCCCAAGATACAGTACTGTGCAAAAGTTTTAGTCACAAATTGTCACTTGTTCGTAAAATTCATGGTATTGCAAGATATGCTAGGTAGAAAGACTTGTAGTGGTCTTGCACTTGGTACAGCACCATGAGAGACCATTATTGCGGCACAATGCCCATGCAGTCATTGACCTAACAAGCTTGTTTGTTAATCTAGATCAACAGCCTCACGTGATGCGAAAATGGTCTCTTTAATTCTTCCAGATGTCCAGATGGTCTTCTATCTGACCTCTTCCTCGCTTATTCCCAGAGATATTCAAACAGATTTAGGTCAGAATTCTTTCGTTTCCCTGTACTGATTGATATTTCTTTCTCTGGGGCTTTTTTCTCTGTCACATGGTGCCCTATCTTGTTCAAAGATAAAGTCTCAACCTCAAAGCTCTCTCCACCTTTTAGAAAGTCCAAGATCGTAAATTTTCGACTAGATACGGAAAATGGTATGTTTGGCTTGTATCTAGAACTTTCCTAATATGAAATGGTTTTGTGGTGGAGATTATATCTTCTAGTAAGATGGGGCACCGTGTCATACAGAAAAGAGCCTGAAAGAAAGTGATATTGACCAGCCCAGGGCTATAAGAGATTGCTGACGTAAACCTCATTGAACATTTTTGGGAATAAGTGAGGAAGAGGTCAGATAGATGACCATCTCGACATCTGGAAGAATCAAAGAGACCATTTTCGCATCACGTGAGGCTGTTGATCTAGATGTAACAAACAAGCTTGTTAGGTCAATGACTGGGCATTGTGCCGCAATAATGGTCTTTCATGGTGGCTGTACCAAGTGCAAGACCACTACAAGTCTTTCTACCTAGCATGTCTTGCAATACCATGAATTTTACTAACAAGTGACAATTTGACTTCATGGGGGCCTAAAACTTTTGCACAGTACGGTATATAAGTCGCCTATTTGGATAATGATATGATTTATTGTCCGATCTTTGTATATATAGTTACGATTCTCACCGCTACTATCCCTAACATTTCATGCATTCTTTTCCAACCTTAGGCATTATTTTTTCATACTAGCTGCGATTATTCTTTTTACTTGCGCATGGTGATGTTTTTTCACGCTTGATGTTCACGAAAAATGTTCGGTTTTTTAGCATGACTCGTTCCTTTAGTATTTAGAAAATTCCTTATAACTATATGAACGCAAACATTGCGTACTTTTTACGACTTTTTTCTGTTTATTTATTTACCATAGCTTCATCTGCACTGAACTGCACTATGTGTGTTGGTAATGGCACAAAATGTACTGATCAAGGTCAGAGCAGAAAATGTCAATCTGGTGAAGGTCTTTGTGGTAGAGTATGGTTTATGCAAAATGGCGTCCAAAAAGTTGCGGAAAGATGCGCTTTAATGGATCATTGCGTTGGAACTATTAACTGTTTGAAGCCAGGATTCGAGTTAGGAAAGTTTTTTAAAGGTGCGACTAATTGTGTTACATCATGCTGTGATGGAGACATCTGTGACCCGCCAGCTCCTCTGAAATGCTACCAATGTCAAGGAAAAGGTAAGATATGTATTACTTCTGAGATTTATCTTCTAGAACCAAATACACTGTATACCAATTGAAGATGAAATTTATATATTCGACCTATACTTTGCAAAAATTTTCTCAACATTCCCTTGAGCGAGAAAAGTATGACGGGAACCTTCTTTTCAAATAACAGCTTACAGGTACGTAAAAAAATCATAGTGATAATTAACTACAAGGCGTAGCGCCTTGTAGTTCATTATCATGACGCTCGGAAACGGCTTAGAATTGACCCACAAAAACAAACAATGGGTTATTTTCAAAACAGTATAATATCATTAGTTAATATTTGATAATCTAACCACAGTTAATAGAATATGCATGGTTTGGAGACCACATAAAACTGCAATACAGGGTGTCTCAAAAAAAACGCAACCACTTAATATTCTAAAATTCATATTGTTTATAAGCTCAATAGATTTTATGCCCCTGGGATTTTAAAATGGCTTCTAATCGTACAGTTTAACTGCTAATAGTCAAATCAGCTAAACTAATAATGGTGCAGCTAACAACCGAACAACGAGTTTTTATTGTCAACCTTATAAAATAAGTTGTAAGTAAAATTTTACTCGTTAAATACTTTCAATTCAGCTCGTTGGTTTACGCACCTGACTTTGTTTACCGACGATTGTGCCGCTAGAATATGATTACAAGCTTTCTCGCATTCCAGGGGCCAAACGTCTTTTGTGTTGTAGAACAAAGAGGACATTCATGAATATTAAGTGGTTGCGTTTTTTTTGATACACCCTGTACAACTCATTAATTATGTTGAGGCGGATTTATGCAAAAAATTGCTCCTTTCTCATCACATGTCTATTGTATTATAACTTACAATTAACATATATTTTTTTTACAAGTCAAGGTTGAGGAGTTTAACAAGACGAATGCCATTGGTAAATTTCTGCTAAAATACAATAGACACGTGACGAGAAAGGAACCATTTTTTGCATAAACCTGGACAATAACATAGTGTTAATGAGTTGTATTGTACCTTTAGTTAGTCTCCAAACCATGTTTACATGTATTCTATTAATTTTGATCTAACTCAGTATGAAGTGTTTCGGCGGAGGAAAGTGACAGCAGGTTATATCTGTCAGTCAGTTTAGTCCCGAATATCCATGATTTTCCCCGTTGTAAACGACTATAGAGCCCCATCTAAATCTCCCACACGACTTAAACTTTTCTTTATATCTCTTCACTCATTATATATTATACCAGCTGCTACATATATTACGATAACATTATGCTTACTGTGATAATATTCGTCTTATATAGTATTAGGCTATTTTGTTCTACCATATCACCTTGTTGAAGAAGTAAAGGCGGATTTCCATTCATTGCAAAATGTCGCGCAATCGATTTTTTTGCGATCGCTTTCTTTTGAAATGTGTTCATCAGTTCAAGCTCATCTAGTTGGATCAGTTCCGCTTGAATGTTTGTATTTCAAAAGAAAGCCACCGGAAAAAGTCGATCGCGCAACATTTTGCACCGAATGGAAATCCGCCATAAAGCTCCCATGCGCTTCCTCCCCTCTATCATTTGTACCGTACTATAATTGAGTTAAGAGTCGTCTCAGGCCTCATCTGCTCATGTTATCAATTTTTCAGGAAAGACGTGTAAAACAAATAGTATCAGCTGTGGATATAAAGAAGATCGGTGTCTGAGGATCAACTACAAGATCGGTGAAGATCTGATGACTGACGAGCGTTGTTACCAGTCTTCGCGTTGTTCAAATTCTTCAGAGATTTGTGATTTAGTAAAGAAGAATAACCAAACGGTTAAAGAGTGTCAAACGTCATGTTGCGATACAGAAAATTGTATCGCAAAGTTCAAACCTGGTAATTGCAAGCTTTGTTTTGATTGGCTCTTCGTTAATACTTGTTGAAATACTCAAATCTGAGACAATGCATGTTAACTTGCTTTACTGATTTTGCTCATTCCTACAATATCTACAGTTGCAAAAACTGTAAAAAGTTGCGTTTTTTAGTTTAATGGCGGTTTAATCAAAATACATGGAATTAGTTGTTCGTTAATTATATACATTAATTTTGCATTTTAATGAGGTTATGCAGTAACCGAGGTTAAAATCGTAGGAACCGCCCGTGGACTGGGCACAATGGCAGAAAGGGGGCTAGGAAGAGGCTCGTGAACTCTGGAAAGGAGCGGATACAGCGAGGGATGGGCACGCAAGGAAGTGATTAGTGCATTTAACGCCAGCAAGAGAAGTAATCCGCGAGTTAGAATTTCTATTTGTGATCTTTTTATTTCTGTTTATTTACCACAGCTTCGTCTGCACGGAACTGCACTATGTGTGTTGGTAATGGCACAAAATGTACTGGACAAGGTCAGAGCAGAAAATGTCAACCTGGTGAAGGTCTTTGTAGTAGAGTATGGTTTATGCAAAATGGCGTCCAGAAAGTTGCGGAAAGATGCGCTTTAATGGATCATTGCACTGGAACTATTGCCTGTTCGAAGCTAGGATCCGAGTTTGGAAAGTATTTTAAAGGTGCGACTAATTGTATTACTTCATGCTGTGAAGAAGACAACTGTGACCCGCCAGCTCCTCAGAAATGCTACCAATGTCAAGGGAAAGGTAAGATATGTATTACTTCTGAGATTTATCTCAATTCTAGAACCAAATATACCTGTTAAAGATGAAATTTATATATTCGACCTACACTATATGCAAAAATTTTCTCAAATTCTCTTGATTAAACGTTGAGCGAAAAAGAATGCTGTGCAACTTCCTTTTCAGATATAATACGTTACTTACATGTAAAAAAATCATGATGATAATGAACTACAAGACGTCAAATTGCTTTGTTTTTTAACGTACTAAAGTATGGGATACGTGACACTCGGACACGGCATGGAATTGATCCCCAAAACAAACAATGGATTATTTTCAAAACCGTATAACATCATTGCTGCCGAGCGTAGCGAGGCAGCACACTATTCTTGACACGGCAGAGATTTCTCCAGAGTTCATTCGACCCAGTCTTCCGCGCCGAACTATGTATAGTCGAAATCTCGATTCGTGTCCGTTTGTCCGGATGTCTGCATTTTCCGGGCCAAAGGTCGATCATCAAGTCACTTTTAAAATTGGGGGGAGTGGACAAAATATTAGAGCCGTCGGTACTGGACAAATGGGATATGCAGGGATATGTTTTTTTTCTGCTTTCATACAGATACATATACATGGATACATATACATGAAGGCGATGCATGAACGTTCATTGTTCAATCTTAGAGGAGTCCTTTCATGTGTTAATCGGCTACATGATTCTCAAAGCAATGTTCTCAACTTAATCTAGAGCAGTGCTTTCATTAGTTTATCGGCTGTAGCTTATATGGTTCTTATATGACAAATATTGAATATATTATAGCTCATATACCCAAGCGAATGGATATTGTTAACACGTAATTGTATACGCAGTAATGCAGGATCGGAACAAGAATATATTTCAGAACAAGGATATATTTCTTCCCGCACTTAGACAGATACATATACATCAAGGCGATGAATTTTTATTGTCAATCTAGCGCAGTGCTTTTATGAATTTATCGCTTATATCAGTATATTATGGTTCTTATGACGTACTTAATTCATAGTAAACAAATAAGTATATGGGGATGAATATATGCAAGCGAACGAATATTGTAGGTACTAGATAAATGGGATATGCAGCAGGGATATATTTTTTTCTGCTTTTATACAGATACATATACATGAAGGCGATGCATAAACGTTCATTGTTCAATCCTAGAGGAGTCCTTTATTCGTTTATCGGCTACATGGTTTTCATGGCAATGTTCTCATCTCAATCTAGAGCGGTGCTTTCATTAGTTTATCGGCTATAGCCTATATGGTTCTTATATGACAAATATTGAATATATTATAGCTTATATATACCCAAGCGAATGGATATTGTAATGTTCAGACACACCGGACGCGATTTGACAACGCGACGCGATTTTACGATTTTCACTGACCGATAACTTTGATCCTGGTTCAAATTCTGCATATATTTAGACGCGCTATAACATTTTAAATTATTTGCTTGACATATTTTTTAAAATCTTCTTTCATTGAGTGTTTTATCAGCTTTTGGAAGCTAAAAATTCGCGTCGTGTTGTCGATTCGCGTCCGGTGTGTCTCGGCCTTTACGTAATTGTATACGCATTACGCAGGATCGGAACAGAAGATAGACATTTTCAGAACAAGGATATATTTTTGCCGCTCTTATATAGATACGTATACATCAAGCAATGTTCTCATCTCAATCTAGAGCGGTGCTTTCATTAGTTTATCGGCTATAGCTTATATGGTTCTTATATGTCAAATATTGAATATATTATAGCTTATATACCCAAGCGAATGGATATTGTTAATCACGTAATTGTATACGCAGTAATGCAGGATCGGAACAGAAGATAGACATTTTCAGAACAAGGATATATTTCTTCCCGCACTTAGACAGATACATATACATCAAGGCGATGAATTTTTATTGTCAATCTAGCGCGGTGCTTTTATGAATTTATCGCCTATATCAGTATATGGTTCTTATGACTTAATTCATTGTAAACAAATAAGTATATGGGTATTCATGCAAGCGAACGAATTCTTATTATAAATATGAGAGCCCAACATATAACATTTAAGAAAGCCATCAAAACAATTTGAAGTTTAAAAGTAAATATATTTGTAACGTTTCGTCTTTAACCTAAGACATCTTCAGACAAGTGATATAAAATTACATGAGATTTGAGTATATATAATATATATATTGTAAATGTTATTGAATATTGGATACGCAAAATGTTGATCTCGTTAGTCCATTATTGTTTAGCTCATCTGACTTTTACGGTGAACAAATAAAGTATGGACTGTGGGTATTCAATACTACAGGTGAGGGTATCCCAAAAGACGCAAACAAAAGCCTTGACGATTGTTAGAATTTGAATACCCAAGACAAACTACGAGCAGTGGCATGTTGAATTTTCACAGGTTACTTGCAGTGCAATTACATTTCAGTTCAAGAAATATCATTGCACGTAATGAATTCATATTAGCAATAATCTAACACGTCCCCAATGGATGGAAAATAGCACAATATTCAATACGAATTTCTTAACTTATTTTTAATTGCATGTATCCTGTCAAAATTTTACTCGCTATTGCGTCGAGCTTTTTCTTGGGTATTCGAATTCTAAGCCTATTATTGTTTGCGTTTTTTTAAGACACCCTGTATATTCGGCGACAACGCGCAAAACGCCACCGCAACACTTGATCTTGGGGAACTGTCAACTAGCTCCATTTGCGACAAGCTTAATAAGCTAAAATCATTATCAGGAAATGAGATCACAACAGTTTAGTTAAAATACATTTCAAAATGTCGATCTCGTTAGTCGAAATGACTATTTTTTGTATTTTTGAGCGTATACAATATATGAAGTGTTAGAGCATTTCAATTTAACATCCAGTTCCACAAATTAAATAACGAACTTTTAAAAATGAATACTGTAAGAAAATACAAGACAAGCTTAAACTAAAATCATTATGATAGGAAAATGAGCCATAATAGTTTAGTCGAAACAGATTTCAAAATGTCGATCTCGCTAGTCGATTGTTGTGCTCGTATAAACATATAAACAACCAATTCAGAAAATTCCGCATGCTGCCTTTAATCCTTGGCCTTACCGGGGATGTTAAGGCAGCAATTTCCTTGCGATAGTAACTCCTAGTTAGGTAATATTTGATTCTACTTCCTCTAACTCAGTATGAAGTGGTCAGGTTTTGTCCGCTTTGTCACCTAGCACCCTTCTTGCGTTTCTACAATGATGCAAGCAAGTAGATCCATCTGATCTTGGTGTAAAAATCAACCAATCAGAAGGCAGATCTTCGACAAAACTGAATTATCATTTCTTTCAAGCGAAAGCACGCTTATTTTTTCCCAACTGTAAATTAGAATTTAAATTTTTCGCTGTTTATACTATTAGTTAGAAGAATAAGGACAAATAACTCCAGGCGTAGAATAGCTCAGTTTTGTCGAGACGCCTCATGACGTCATGATCTCAGATCAGCTGGATATCCTCAGCAGATGCTTATTTGTAGGAAGTATTAAAATTAGAAGCGAGGAGATATTTCAGTTACTTACACAAAAGCCTCGGTGGAGGAAAGTGACAGCAGGTTATGTCTGTCAATCGGTTTAGTCCTAAATATCCATGATTTTCCGCGGTGTAAATGACTAAAACTTTTCTTTTATATCTTTTCACTCGTTATATATTACTAGCTGCTACATATAATTTATTACGATAACATTATGCTTACTGTGATAATATTCGTCTTATATAGTATTAGGCTATTTTGTTCTACCATATCACCTTGTTGAAGAAGTAAAGGCGGATTTCCATTCATTGCAAAATGTCGCGCGATCGATTTTTTTGCGATCGCTTTCTTTTGAAATGTGTTCATCAGTTCAAGCTCATCTAGTTGGATCAGTTCCGCTTGAATGTTTGTATTTCAAAGCTTGAATGTTTGTATTTCAAAGCTCCCCAGCGCTTCCTCCCCTCTATCATTTGTACCGTACACTATAATTGGGTTAAGTGTCGTCTTGTGCCTCATCTGCTCATGTTATCAATTTTTCAGGAAAGGCGTGTAAAACAAATAGTATCAGCTGTGGATATAAAGAAGATCGGTGTCTGAGGATCAACTACAAGGTCGGTGAAGATCTGATGACTGACGAGCGTTGTTACCAGTCTTCGCGTTGTTCAAATTCTTCAGAGATTTGTGATTTAGTAAAGAAGAATACCGAAACGATTAAAGAGTGTCAAATGTCATGTTGCGATACAGAAAATTGTAACGCAATTATCAAACCTGGTAATTCTTTTGGCGTGCAAATTGCCAGCTTTCTTTTGATTGCCTCTTCTTTAATACTTGTTGAAATACTCAAACTCTGAGACAATGCATGTTAATTTGCTTTACTTATTTTGCTCATTTCTATAATATCTACAGTTGCATAAGGAACTGTTAACAGTCGCGCTTTTTTAGCTTAATCACGGTTTGATCAAAATACATGGAATTAGTTGTTTCTTAGTAAACCATATGGGACTGATTATTTATTGTGCGGGCCTTTTTGTGTAACAATTCCTCTGCATTACTTCGTCAAATTCTTGTATTCTTTCCGCCTTGAGGTAAAATTTTTATGTTAAAATGCAGCGTCGTTTTATTGCATTTAAAAATGACACTAATCTTTGAAATGTTTGTGGTAGACAAGCCAAATATTTTCCATGCCATGCGGTGATGATTTGACATATAAACTTACGTATGGTAAAAGGAGTAGGTATTTTCGCAGAAAGCAGGAATTGATTTAATTTTTGGCATCATTTCGTCAGGGCATCGAGGGCTCATTTGAAATAGTATGTCATGATTTGGCATTCCAAAAACTTTTATTGTGATTGGTTTGGGTCAAAGCAAAATGTGTAAAAAGTTTTTTTATTGACAATTCTTTTTAGCGTAATTTTTTTTTTGTTACGTCTAATTTTTTTCCATTTCGAATTTTTTATCATGTAATTTTTTTTTCTATATATTTTTCTTGTGCTGGGTCCAAATTTTTTTCTTGTGAATTTTTTTTTCGTGTGAAAATTGTTTTCATTGTGTCCAATTTTTTCCCTTAATTATCATTTCCTCTGCCTTTTTTTCGGTCAATTTTTTCCTTTTCTCTAAATATTTCTCCATGGAATTTTTTTTCTTTAATCCAAACATTTTTCCGGTCAAATTTTATTTGTATCAATTTTTTTGTCCATAATTTTTGTCCAAGCTAAACACAGTTATCCAAGAAAAATTCGTTTTCTTTACCAAAAAATAGTAAAATCTCCAAAATGTTCAATTATAACCTTAATAGTAAAAGGTATGCCTTGCCACTTTAGAAAAACACTTCTCGGAAATTTTCTAAAATGTGTTCACATGCTGCAATTAGCTTTAAATGTTTTAAAAAAGCAATCTCTTTCGTTTTTTGGCAATTTTTCCTGATTTAGGGTATTGACAAATTTGTGAATTTTTGCGAAAATAGTAAGGCTTATCCTATTGTCTCCCCCCTCCCTCTAAAAATATCCATCTTGGGCTAACTGTTTCAGGATACTTTAGCCGAAGCAAGACACAGTTGCCCCAGACAAATCATTTCTTTTTACATAAGATTAAAGTTGGTAAATTCTCCAAAATTGTCAATTTTAGCTATCAATATTATGCGGTACCCCTTGCCATTTGACAAAAAGTGACCAGGTTCGGAAATTTTCTAAAATGTGTTTACATGCTGGAAATTGCTTTAAATGTTTAAAAAGACCAATCTCTTTCGTTTTTGAACATATTTGCCTTCTTTTTCGAGCATTGAACAGGTTGTGAAAAAAATCAAAGGAAAACAAAATTGGAGAAATAAAAACACTTTCCAACGAAAAAAAAATTGACAAAATAAAAACAATTTCGACACACATGAAAAAAATTACACCAGAAGAAAATTAACAGGAAGAACATTTGGAGACAAGGAGAAAGATGTGTCAATTTTTTTTCTAGTGTCAATTTTTTTCTCGTATTTCTCTTGTGTCAATTTTTTTATTGTGTCCAATATTTTCAATGCAAATTGTTTTTCTTCTATCCAACTTTTTTCCCTCTGATTTGTTTTTGTCTTGTGAAATTTTTTTTTCGTGAGAAAATTGTTTTCCTTCTGTCCAAATTTTTCAAGCCAATATTGTTTTATTTGTCCAATTTTTTTTCAGCTACAACTTTTTTTCCTCCCGTCCAAATTTTTTTCCTGTGCAAATCATTTTCCTACACCTCAAATTTTCTTCTTGTGTGACAATTTCTTTTTAGTGTGAAAATGGTCTTTCTTATTTCCAATTTTTTTTTCGTGTCCACATTTTTTTCTTGTAAACTTATTTATAAAAAGTTTTTGTGTGAAAATTGTCTTCCTTCTGTCCAATTTTTTTTCTGTATATTTTCCTTGTGTCAGGTCTAATTTTTTTCCTTGTGTCCAATTTTTTTTAAGCACATTTTTACTCATTTCCCATTTTTTTCATTTGACATTTTTTTTTGTCAAACTTTTTTTTCTTATGTCCAAATTTTTTTCGCAAATCGTTTTTCCTGTTCCCTAATTATTTTCTTGTGTCAAAATTTCTTTTTAATGTGAAAATTGTTTTTCTTATATCTGATTTTCTTCTGCTAATTTCTTTTCTTATGTCCACATTTCAGTTTTTTCCTGTGAATTTATTTCAATTTTTAGTACTAAAATGCAAAAAATCGCTTCCTAACGCTATCTTTAATTTTAGAGCACATTTGGTTGGTTTTTGGAACATCGAAAAAGTCGTCAAAATTGACCAAAACCTTACTTTACCATTTTGCTCAATTTTGACGACTTTATCACTTATTTAAAAATTGACCTAAAATGCTAAAAATGGCTTCCTAAGACTAATATCTTTCATTTTAGAGCATATTTGGTTAGTTTTTGGAACATTGAAAAAGTCATCAAAATAGACCAAAATTGTAACGTTTACACTTTACCATTTCGGTCAATTTTGATGACTTTTTCAACTCTTCAAAAACTGTCTTAAAATGCTAAAAATGGCTTCTTAGAACTAATATCTTTCATTTTAGAGCATATTTGGTTGGTTTTTGGAACATTGGAAAAGTCTTCAAAATTGACCTAAAAAAGTATGGCTTACCCCGTTACCATTTCGGTCAAATTTTAACGACTTTTTTAATTGTTCAAAAACTGTCTTAAAATGCTAAAAATGGCTTCCTAAGACTAATATCTTTCAGTTTAGAGCATGATTAGTTGGTTTTTGGAACATTGAAAAAATCGTCAATTTGACCAAAATGGTAAGGCTTACCCCTTACCATTTCGGTCAATTTTGATGACTTTTTCAATTGTTCAAAAACTGTCTTAGAATGCTAAAAATGGCTTCTTAAGACTAATATCTTTCATTTTAGAGCATATTTGGTTTGTTTTTGGAATATTGGAAAAGTCGTCAAAACTGACCTAAAAAAGTATGGCCTACCCCGTTACCATTTCGGTCAATTTTGACGACTTTTTCAATTGTGAAAAAACTGTCTTAAAATGCTAAAAATGGCTTCTTAAGACTAATATCTTTCATTTTAGAGCATATTTGGTTTGTTTTTGGAATATTGGAAAAGTCGTCAAAATTGACCTAAAAAAGTATGGCCTACCCATTACCATTTCCGTCAATTTTGACGACTTTTTCAATTGTTCAAAAACTGTCTTAAAATGCTAAAAATGGCTTCCTAATACTAATATCTTTCATTTTAGAGCATAATTAGCTGGTTTTTGGAACATCGAAAAAGTCGTCAATTTTGACATAAAATGGTAAGCCTTGCTTCTTATCATTTTGGTCTATTTAGACAACTTTTTCAATTGTTCAAAAACTGTCTTAAAATGTTAAAAATAGATTCTTAAGACTAATATCTTTCATTTTAGAGCATTTGGTTGGTTTTTGGAACATCGAAAAAGTCGTCAATTTTTACCAAAATTGTAAGGTTTACCCCTTACCATTTTGGTCAATTTTGACGACTTTTTCAATTGTTCAAAAACTGTCTTAAAATGCTAAAAATGGCTTCTTAAGACTAATATCTTTCATTTTAGAGCATATTTGGTTGGTTTTTGGAACATCAAAAAAGTCGTCAATTTTGACCAAAATTGTAAGGCTTACCCCTTACCATTTTGGTCAATTTTGACGACTTTTTCATTTGTTCAAAAACTGTCTTAAAATGCTAAAAATGCTTTCTTAAAACTAACCTCTTTCATTTTAGAGCATAATAAGTTTGTTTTTGGAACATCGAAAAAGTCGTCAATTTTGACCAAAATGGTAAGGCTTACCCCTTACCATCGGTCACTTTGATGACTTTTTCAATTGTTCAAAAACTGTCTTAAAATGCTAAAAATGGCTCCTAAGACTAATATCTTTCAGTTTAGAGCATAATTAGTTGGTTTTTGGAACATTGAAAAAATCGTCAATTTTGACCAAAATGGTAAGGCTTACCCCTTACCATTTCGGTCAATTTTGATGACTTTTTCAATTGTTCAAAAACTGTCTTAGAATGCTAAAAATGGCTTAAGACTAATATCTTTTATTTTAGAGCATATTTGGTTCGTTTTTTGAAGATTGGAAAAGTCATCAAAATTGACCTAAAAAAGTATGGCCTACCCCGTTACCATTTCGGTCAATTTTGACAACTTTTTCAATTGTTCAAAAACTGTCTTAAATGCTAAAAATGGCTTCTAAGACTAATATCTTTCATTTTAGAGCATATTAGTTGGTTTTTGGAACATTGAAAAGTCGTCAATTGACCAAAAGTAGGCTTACCCCTTACCATTTCGGTCAATTTTGATGACTTTTTCAATTGTTCAAAAACTGTCTTAAATGCTAAAAATGGCTTCTTAAGACTAATATCTTTTATTTTAGAGCATATTTGGTTCGTTTTTTGAAGATTGGAAAAGTCATCAAAATTGACCTAAAAAAGTATGGCCTACCCCGTTACCATTTCGGTCAATTTTGACAACTTTTTCAATTGTTCAAAAACTGTCCTAAAATGCTAAAAATGGCTTCTTAAGAGTAATATCTTTCATTTTAGAGCATATTTGGTTGGTTTTTGGAACATTAGAAAAGCTGTCAAAATTGACCTAAAAAAGTATGGCCTACCCCATTATCATTTCCGTCAATTTTGACGACTTTTTCAATTGTTTAAAAACTGTCTTAAAATGCTAAAAATGGCTTCCTAATACTAATATCTTTCATTTTAGAGCATAATTGGCTGGTTTTTGGAACATCGAAAAAGTCGTCAATTTTGACATAAAATGGTAAGCCTTGCTTCTTATCATTTTGGTCAATTTAGACAACTTTTTCAATTGTTCAAAAACTGTCTTAAAATGTTAAAAATAGCTTCTTAAGACTAATATCTTTCATTTTAGAGCATAATTGGTTCATTTTTGGAACATCGAAAAAGTCGTCAATTTTGACATAAAATGGTAAGGCTTGCCTCTTATCATTTTGGTCATTTTTGACAACTTTTTCAATTGTTAAAAAAACTGTCTTAAAA